TCATATGTGGAATATAAACCAACACATGGACAGAGAAAACTGGACTGTGGTTACCAGGGGCAGTGGGGGTGGGGGGTGGGCACAAGGGGTGAAGGGAGTCATATATATGGTGATGGACAAACAAAAATGTATAACCCAAAATTTCACAATGTTAGAAACCATTAAAACATCAATAAAAAAAAAAAAAAAGCAACATCTAACAGTGCTGTCCAACAGAAATACAATGTGAGCAACATATGTAATTTTAAAATTTTCTAGCTGCATAAAAAAGGAAAAAGAAACAGATAAAATTAATTTTAATAACATATTTCAACTCAATATATCCAAAGTATTATCATTTTAACATGTAATCAATATAAAAATCATTAATGAGATAGTTTACATTCTGTTCTTCATACTAAGTCTTTGAAATTCAGTGTGTGTTTTACACTTACAGCACATCTCAATTCAGACCAGACTCATTTCAAGAGCTCAGTAGCCATATGACTACCTTATAGGACAGCACAGATCTGGAGTATGATTCTATTTTTATGAAATTCTCTGCTTAGTGATCTCTTCTTCCATCTATAAGTACATAGAGAGATCGGTCATGCTGTTCACCTAATATTAACAGTGGTAACTTTTGGATGACAGAATTTGAAGGGATTTTTTTAACCCTTTTTAACAATACTTTTCTGTGTTGCTTGCATTTGTTTTAATGTGTGAATCACTTTTATAAAGTCAATCAAGTTGTTATGTAAAATATAAATAAAAATTTTGAAGGGACCAGAGAGACGTTAGTGCTCTAATCAACAGCATCATACAGGCTAATCCCTAACAGTGTGTGAAGACTGGTGAAAGGCATGTAACAACAGGTAATAGAGCACACCATGCCTTCACAACCACCAACGCCAAGCATTCATTTAAGACATACCTGTTGGAGAAGTCCTGAGTCGGAGTCTAAAACACAGGCATCAATCAAAATATTCTGAAATGAATATTCCAAAGATGTTATAGGAATAACAACAATAGTGACTATCTTATACTCAGAACCTACTATGTGCCAGACTCTATCCTTACAATGGCTTATTTAATATTCATGATAACTCTGCAAGGTAGATATGTGGTTTGCATTTTACAGCTGAAGCACCCAGGCCTTGGCCAGGCTGTGATTACAGAGCCAGGGGGAGGCAGCGCGGTCACCCCCAGTCTGCCTGTCCCCAAAGCCCATGGTCTTTTCCCTACATCATGCTGCCACTCCAAGATGGAGAATATTATGCTTGGCTATAGCAGCATTTTAAGTTAAAACTCAAGTTTTAAGGAAGTTTTTTTTTTTAAATATTAAAGAAGAAAATATATTAGTGATAATTCATCTGAACATTTCACTTATTTGCAAAGTAAAAATACTGAATCTTTACAAGAACCCACTAAAGTAAAGAAAAAGAGAAATTGAGGCAGGGTATGCAGCAAACTATAAAAATAGGGATTCTTAGCTTTGGGTCTACACAGGGTTACATGAATAGCATGAAACTATATGCAAAACTGTGGTTGAATGCACATTTTTCTGGGGACCCATCAGATTCTCATGGGGTTCTGGACCCAAAATAGAGAAATGACTAGTACAAAATATGGATTTCAGATTCCTAATCCATTAATAAGGCCATTTAGTTAGAATACTTCAAGTAGGTCACTCATAAAATGAAATTAATTCGTTCATTGTGAAACAAATATTCTTTAACAGAATGCTCTCAATTTACCTGTTTCTGTGCTGCGAAGATGACATTCATGAAGTTCATATACTGCAATGCACTGTCTTCTGCAGCCTTAATCACCTAAAAATCACATCCATGTGAATACCTTGCAGGCACATCCTAGTACTCTCAATCACAAGTCATCACAATCTACTACAAACTACAACCAATATTATTTTTCCAATTTGTCTTCCTAGTTATTATTATTAAATACCTAGTTATTCTTATTAAATAATACCTAAAAGTGTAAAGATGACTGCAAAAATTTCCCCCAAATCCTACCACTCAAGAGATAATCCTTATTAATAGCTTGATGAACGTCCTTCTAGAGAACACCTATGTAAGCATGTATGTCCACTCACACTCAACACACACACACACACACACACAGGGATGACACTCTATCTAGTGTTCTGCAAGCTGCTTTTTCAGTCCACAATATCTGGGGAAAAAAATCTTATGTCAATCAATTTGGATGTATATCATCCTTCGTGTGGACTTCATAGATGTAACCGGTTAGGTACAGCGGACATGTAAGCACTTTCCAATCCTCGGTTTTAGAGAATGCTCTAATGAGAACCCCCTCTACCTTTCCTAATAGTTTTTCTTTGGTTCTTGTTTTGGGGGTTTTATTTTTTTGAGATATTAAGCTTTCCTTTAAAGTTTCACATCATGCTTAGCAAGGTACTCACCATCCCCAGATTATAAACAGATATTTTCTTCCAGCACTTTTAGGACTTGAATTTTCACATGGAAATGTCTGCTTTTTACTAGAATGTATTAGGTGTAACTAGTGAGATGGGGATCTGGCTTTGTATTCCCCTAAATGGCCAACCAATTGGCCCAGCACCTTTTATGAAAAATCCATTTTCTTCCCGCTAATTTAAAGTACTTCCTTTATCAGAAACCAAACTCCCCTGTGTACTTGATTTTATTTCTGGACTCTAGGTATTTTCTATTTTCTGTTTGCCTACTACTATACCAAAACCAGTTATTGTGGCTTTATAATGTGTTTTAATGCCTAACGGAATAAGTGCCTACTTATTCTCTTCCAGAAAGTTCCTGGCTATTCTCATTGAATTATTCTTCTAGATAAACTGGTGAATTTCTTTTTAAATTCCTCCACTCTGCCAGAAAAAAAAGTCTCATTGCATTCTGACTGAGATTGCACTGGATTTACAGGTGAATTTTGGAAAAATTGACATCCAAAAATAAAATATGGCTCTCGATTTATTCAATTCTTTTATGTCTCAGAATTTTAGTTTTTCATTGTAATCAGTTTTACATATTGCTTGTTAAATTAATATTTATTGCTTCTATTAGAAATGGGTCTTATTTTCCATCATGTTCTCTAATTGGCTATGGTTGGTATACAAATACAATATTGTTTTTTTAAATCTTACCAATATCCTTGATTTCATTTCCTGATTATCTATAAAGAGATAAAAACAGATTATAATTTAACTGAATCTTATTAAACATATTATAAGGTTTTCTAACCAATTTTTAGATAGTCCACCAAACTTACAGTTGTAAAATAAGGATTAAGTTCTCATAAAAAAAAAAAATGCAGGCTCCTACCTTTAACCTCCTTGTTCATTCTATGAATGTCTTATTTCTTAGCATTAAGGAATTTAAAAATATTATTTAATTTCATAATTATTTATAGAAAACAAAAAAATAACCTCAAATTTTAGTTAAACCCAGCATCCACCTAGCTGAAGAAAGGAAATGTTCTGTTTCCCATGATAGAACACACAAAACAAGAGTGATTGGGGGTTCCCAGTTACTAACCCTGCAATCAACTGGGCTTGTAACCTGACCAAAATATGACCTTTGTCCCAGAAAATTAAAATTACTAAGACTTGATTGTTCTATGATTATCTACCACATCCTAGATTTGAAGACTGAGACCACAAGTAAATCAATACGTCAATCAAATGAGATAACGAACTGGAGAACCATACACAGATGATCCGGCACCCCCACTCAAAGTCTAGGACAGAGGAATCATTCAGCACTGTCCAAAACACACAAATTGAATTATGTAAGACTGGGAGACCATCACACAAACATAGTTAACATCAAAATGCTTAGAAAGGTGTTGTTGACTCTGCTAAATACAAAATAACCCACTGGCCTGTGTAGAAACAGCCACTCATTTATTAAGCCTCAGGGTCAGTACATGTCTTTTATAATCAAACACTGCTCCTAACTCAAGGAAGATGGAAAAAAAAAAAAAAGAACTTTACAATTTGTCAATAAGAAACAAGGAAGCATTCTGAAGAATTCGCTGTGAGCAGAAGGACATACTGGAGAAACTAGAGTTTTCTCATTCTTCTCATTTCAAGTTTTCACAGCTTATCTTAAAAACATTTCAAAGCCAAAATAAACTACCTTTTGATTACCCACCACTTTAGAATACTCATGCCTTCCATTAACATGGGCATCCAAGGTTATAAGAAATATCCCAAGTCAAGCTATGTTTATTACAGAAGACGCCCGCTGAATGATCAAAACACCAAGGATACAGCAGAGAGCTTTGGCAAGGGATCCTGCCAGCAGAGTTTCTGTATGTTGACCCTTTATGTCACCTACAAATAATAAAAAAGATTAAAAAGGAAATTTTTAGATATTTTCGTGAACTAATATAATTTTCAAACCAAAGCACTCTTCATGAATGAAATCAGACATTTTAAAACTGGGTTTAAAAACACAGATAGCAATTTGCTCTCAGTAATACTTAAATAAGCAATTTGTTTACATTTTCTCGATTTAAAATACCCTGGCGGTCAGGGGCTAAGAGGGGTGTGGAATTGTTTAATGGGGACAGAGTTTTAGTTTGGGGTGATGAAAAAGTTCTGGAAATGGACAGTGGTGATGTTTGTACAACAATGTGAATATACTTAATGCCACTGAACTGTACACTTAAAAACGATTAAAATGGTAAATTTTATGTTATGTATATTTTACCACAATAAAAAATAAGTAACAAAAACTACCCTGGTGTTATTTGGAAAGGCTGAGGTTTATCAATGATCTAAATGGTACAAAAGGTCACGTGTAACTGCAGGTAGCCTGGACAGTGGCCCCTGGCCAGGCTCTGAGCCTCCCTCTCCTCCCTTCCCCACCCCCTCCCCCTCTCCATCCCCCTCAGAGAGCTGCCCGGCCAGTGAGAGAGGACTGGACAAACTCCTCTGGCTGTGGCAAGCAGGGAAGAAGTTTGCAACTTGTTTGGAGTCTTGGGTGAAAAAAAGTCACTCTTAAGAAAATCAAAATCCTAAACCTGCAGCTCAAGAGAGTGGGAAGCCCAGATGGACACCTGTGCAAACAGGGTCTGCAGCTGGTCTAGGAGCACTGATACCCCACGGGTGAGTCAGACCAGGAAGTCTTGAACACTGTACTGAGAAGCTGGGACTTTACCCTGGAGGCCAGTAGTTCTCAAAGGGTGGTTCTGGAACCACTGTAGCTGTAGGAGCATCACCTGGGAATTTAATAGAAACACAAATTCTTGGGACCACCCTGGACCCACTGAAGCAGAAACTGCAGAGTGGGGCCCAGCATTTTGTTTTAACAAGCCCTCCAGGTGATTTTTAACAGCTTTATTGGTATAATTTACAGATCATAAAATTCACTACTTTTAAGTGCCCAATTCAATGATTTTCAGTAAATTTATAGAGTTGTAAACCATCACCACAATCCAATTTTAGAACATTTCCCTCATCCCAGAAGATCACTTGGGCCCTCTGCCATCACTCCCTGCTCCTCCCCAGCCCGGGGGAACTACTAACCTACTTTCTGCCTCTAAAGAGTTGCCTTTTCCTTCCAGGTGATTCTGACACAGTCAGAAACCAGTTTGAAAACCACAACCTGCAGCAACAGGAAACCAGGAAAGGCCTTCAAGCCAGGGAACAGCAGCTCTGCTGTCTAAGATGGCAAGTCTAGAGGCTGAGTGCAAAGACTTGAATGGGGAGAGACAGGAGTCAGTGAGCAGAAGCTCTTACAACCATCTAGAGCAAGGGATCTGGACCTGGCAACTGTGTCCCACAGGGGACACTTGGCAAAGTTTGCAGACATATTTGGTTGTCACAACTGGGGGATGTTATGGCATCTAATGGGTCGAGGCCAAGGATGCTGCTAAGTATCCTCCAATGCACAGGACAGCCCCACGACAAAAATTATCCAGCCCAAAATGTCAGTAGTGCCAGGGCTGAGCTAGATGACAGACAAGGGGTCAGATTTTGGAGGCACTTCTGAGACTGTAATAGGATTTCACAGCTGATTAAATGCTGGATGTGAGAAGAAAGGAGTCAAAAATGAAAGCTTTGAATTTGGAAAAGCAGATGGATGGGGGTGACAGGAATTGGGAATGGAAATGGTGTAACTCAGGGGAAAAAGTAATGAAATAGTCTGGGGCATGTTAACGAGACCATGGGACGCTTCAGTGGAGACATCTGCAGCCTGAAAGAAAGGCTGGATTAGAGAGAAAGATCAGGAAGTGTTGACATACAAATGATAATTAAAGACAAAAGTGGATGAGAACACACAGAGGAAGAAAAGAAAATAACATGCAGAATAAAAATAGACATATTTTAAGGGATAAGGTGAAGGAAAAGTCAGAAATGAAAGAAAGAATGGTCCAAAAAAGAGGAAGAACAGGTTAACAGGATATCCTCAGAGGCCAAAGACTGTGTTTCAAGAAGCAGAGGCTGGTCAACAGGGTCGAATGCCGCAAATGACGCACAGGCTTGGTGACAGCGATTTTAAAAAAAGGGGAGAGAATGCAAGTAGGTAGTATCAAGAACCTTAAAGCGCCTCAAGGACCTCTACATTCAACTCTATTTGCAAAATAACAATAATGGAAAAAAAAAAAAAGCTGTTACTCTTGGTCATTAGATCTTTGATCTCTTCAACAATAACTTCATTGGCTGCTGTTAACAACTCGTATTTTCCATCTTTACTCCCTGAGGGATTAAATTCAGAAGGAGGGTTGCCAGCGTCTCCGAAGAAATCTCCAAGTCTGTCATTCTTCCCAGGATATAAGAATCGACTGAAATAGCAGGGGAAAAAAACACCTAGTTACACCAGGACTCAGTGCCCGCACTAGACGTCAAAAAGAAATTCAGCAGAGAAAACAAACAAAAACCACATTAATTCTGGACTCACAAGATTCTACAATAAATTTCATTTTTTAAAAATGTATACAATAGGCAAGTTGGCAAATATGAGTCTATCACCACAGAATGTTTTGATGATTCCACTGTTTCCTGAAAAATGAGAGGAAATGAAGAGCGTCTTGGGTAATAGTCTCTTGAAATGGTTCAGGGTGGTTCTCACTCTCTTTTCTCAGAGGACAACTGGCAGACACTTGTACCAAATTCTAACTTACTACTAGTGTATTACTCGAGGTATATCTATCTACCCCAGTAACACAAATCTGGTTCAAGGGTCCCTGAAAAGATTCTCCTAGTGCCTCATGACTTTTATAGTAATCATGTAAAACATTTTTAATTTTTCTAAAAAAACGAAAACTTTGCCTGTTATAGCTTTTATTGATATCTTAACTAAATCAGCATCATCTTTTTCATTCAATTCTGAGAAAAACGTATGGTGATGATGGCAGCAGGAGCACTTACTAACGGTTGGCCCAGGGGCTCTGTCAACACACCAAAGGAAGCAACCCTAAGAACGGAGAAAATCTGAGAACTATCCATGAACCTCATATGAAACATGTTGGTAAACAAGAGCCACTTCTACAGTGATATGACATTTCATTAAGACACAGAAGAGCTGTATCTTACATGGGATTTAAACTCTACAGCGTATAACGTGACAAGTAAATATGGTCAAAATTATTCATGAAAATCTTGACTGTATACACGGCCATATTTGCACATCAGCTGCAGATCTAAGCACCATTTTGCAGTGACTCTCACACAGCCAGTTTTACACCAGTGCTAGAAAAGGTCACTGTTTCTCGAGCTGAGCACCAGATGGAGTAGTTGGCTTGGGTTTAGGAGCCAGTGTAAGAAAAATCCTTATTTATAAACAGCAGAATCACACACAGAGCAATGAAATATTCACACGATGAGAGGCACGCAGGAGCCAAGACTTGCTGAAGGGAAAGCAGAATCACACCTCCCATCCCACCCGCCCTCGGAGGCAGTCCCAGGAGTAGAGCAGAGATGGGAGCTGCCAGCCAGATTTGGTAATTCTCTCTCTCTTTTGCCTAGAGAATACAGTTGAATCTGTGTAAGTGAAATGTACACATGTACTATATATCAGCTCATGAGGTTTTCAATATTCATACCTATCAAAATGTACATGTACTGATCTTGACACTGTGAGTACTGCTCACTAGTACAGAAAAAAAAATTTTTTGCAACATGGAGTAAAAATAATACACGCCAGTTGGCATAAAAATGTCTCAAATGTTAAGCACTGAGTAGGCAGAGCAATCATAATGGGCGTACCTTTCTTGAATGTGACTTGCTATCACAGCGAGTTTGTTGAACCGATTCATGAATAAATGAGAATTTCCCAGCACCATCACTGCATCTATGCATTTTGATAAAGTAAACTGTTGAAAAACAGAAGACGTTAGAAAGGTAAATTAGCTATCCAAACAAATAAGTCAGGTCTTGAAATGATTAAAATTTCACTTAAATTTTAGACAATTATTCACTGCTAAAAATATGCACAGGGGCTCCCTCCTCCATAAGCAAAAACACTTGAAAACTATAGTTTTCTAACGTTACTTATATGAGATCATCTATACATCAATACAACATTCCACAAGTATTTTCTGCATAACATTTAGGGAATACCAAACATGTCACATCTTCTGTGAGAAAATTACTAGCAAACTATTGCTACATGTGGAGGAGATGATTAATATATACTGATTAAATTGGTGATTTGTGAAAGTTTCCAATTCATTCATTCACTAAGTATGCTGAGCACCCATTGTTATATCCCTTCTTTCATGGAGCTTACATTCTCACAAGTAATCATGTTACTAAAAAGCATAGGTAGATATTTTTATAATCCTGGAATACGGCATGCTTCTCTTAAAGAAAAAAACATTTCAGGCAGAAAATAAAACATTGATAAATTTCACTCCATTAAAAAAATGTAAAACAAACTTATTAAAATTTCTATGTGGCAAAAAAAATGACTATAAACAAAAGTGAAAGACAAATTACAAACTGGAAAATAATAATTGCAACATATGACAGGCAATGGGTTAACCTTTTAATATAAAGAGTGTCCACAAATCATGAAAAAAAAAAAAAACACCCAAAGAGAAAAACGGGCACTCCCCCAAGGGAGAAATCTGAAGGGCCATCAAAGACTCTGAAAGCAAATGGAGATGACTTTTTTGTGTACATCATATTGGCCAAGATAAAATAAGGAAAGAGAGTGTCTCATGTTGGTGCAAAAAAAAAAAAGGAATTCTCATATCCCAGTAAGGAGAGTGCAAAATAAGATAGTCTTTCTGGAGAGTAAAAGGATCATAAACAGTGATGTTCTGGTATATCCATACAATGGAATACTACTCAGCAATGAAAAGGAATGAACTACTGACACATGTAACAACATGGACAAATCGCAAAATTATGCCGAGTAAAGAAACCAGACCAGAAAAAATTCCACTACATACTGCTTGATTCCATTTATATAAAAATCTGGAAAATGCAAACTAATCTATAGTGCCAGAAAGCAGATCAGTGCTTGCCTGGGGGTGCGGACAGACAGAGAAAGGTGAGTAGGATAAATTATAAAGGAACATGAAGAAATTCTTGGGGGTGATGAATCTATACCTTCATTATTTTGATTGTGGTGATAATTTCATAAATGTATACATACGTGAAAACATATCAAATTGAACACTTAAACACGTCCAGTTCATTGTATGTCAATGATATCTTGATAAAGCTGTTTAGAAGAAGACCATTAAGCAAATGAAAAAACAAACCACACAGCCATAGATCAGGAGAAAATATGTGTAAATCATATATTTGATTAAGGACATATCCAGAATACATAAAGAATTCTTACAACTCAATACCAAGAAAACAAACAGCCCAATTTAAAAATTGGGCATAACATTTGAGTACACATTTCACCAAAGAAAATATATGGATGGCTAATTAGCATATGAAAGACTCAACATCATCAGTCATTAGAGAAATGCAAATTAAAACCACAATGAAATACTACTACCTACTCACTAGAATGACTATCATCAAAAAGCCAGACAAGTGTTGGCAAGGATGTGAAGAAACTGAAACTCGCATACACCGCTGATGGGAATGGAAAATGGTGTACGCACTTTCAAAAAGTTTGGCAGCATCTCAAAAAGTCAAATCTAAACTTACCATATGACCCAGCAATTCAACTCTTAGGTATCTATCTACTCAAGAGAAATGCAAACATATGTCCACACAAAGCCTTGTTTGTGAATTATCAGCATTATTCATAATAGTCAAAAACCGGAAACAATCCAAATGTCCATGAATAGATAAACAAGAGGTACATCCATACAATAAAACACTGTTCAGTAATAAAAAGGAACTATCAATACAACATGGATGAACCTCAAAAATATTACACTAAGTCAAACAAGCCAAAATCAAAAGACTACATATTACCAAAACTCATTCAACATGAAAATGATCATTCAAATAGTTTATTAAAGAAATTTAATTCACAGTTTAGGGGCCGGCCCAGTGGTGTAGCGGTTAAGTTCGTGCATTCCACTCCAGGGGCCCAGGATTCATGGGTTCAGATCCCGGGCGTAGACCTACACACCGCTCATCAGGCCATGCTGTGGTGGCGTCCCACATACAAAATAGAGGAAGACTGGCATGGATGTTACCTCAGAGACAATCTTCCTTACCAAAAAAAAAAAAAAAAAAACCTCACAGTTTAAAACCTCTCCAAAAAGCAATCTCCAGGCCCAGATGATTTCACTGGAGAACAGCACTGAACATTTAAAGAAGAACTGACACCAATTCTAAATAATCTCTTCCACAAAACAGAAGAGAATACTTCCCAATTCATTTTATGAAGCCAGTATCACCCTTATGCCAAAACCAGCCAAAGACAGTACAAGAAAGAAAAAGAAAACTGCAGACCAATATCTCTCATGAACATAGGTTAAAAAAATCCTGAACAAAACATTAGCAAATTGAATTCAAGTGAGGTTTATTCTGGGAATGCAAGGCTGGTTCAATATTTGAAAATCAATCATTGTAATCCACCACATCGACAGGCTAAAGAAAAATCATTATTGATAGAGAAAGAGCATTTGAAAAAATTGAACATTCATTCGTGATAAAAATCTCTAAGCAAACTAGGAAGCGAACTTCCTCAACTTGATAAAGAGCATCCACGAAAAGAACTACAGTTAACATCATACTTAACGGTGAGACTGAATGTTTTTCCCTTAAGATCAGGAACAAGGTAAAGATGTCCACTCACACCACTCTTATTGAACACAGTACTGGAAGTCCCAATCAGTACAACAAAGCAAGAGATGGAAATAAAAAGTATATGCATTGGAAAGGAGAAAATAAAACTGTGCCTATTTGCAGATGACATGACTATGTAGAAAATCCCAAGGAATCCACAAAAAACACAGCTAAGACTAATAAGTGAGTTCAGCAAGGGCTCAGGATATAGGATCAACACACAAAACTCAATCACATTTCTATATACTAATATCAAACTTGTGGAAACTAAAATTAAAAACACAATACCCATTTATAATTGCTAAAAAAAAAGAATATTTAGGTATAAATCTACAAAACATGCACAGAACTTGTCTGATGAAAACTATAAAATGCTGATGAAAGAAATCCAAGATCTGGGCCGGCCCCGTGGCTTAGCAGTTAAGTGCGCGCGCTCCGCTGCTGGCGGCCCTGGTTCGGATCCCGGGTGTGCACTGACGCACTGCTTCTCCAGCCATGCTGAGGCCGTGTCCCACACACAGCAACTAGAAGGATGTGCAGCTATGACATACAACTATCTACTGGGGCTTTGGGGGTAAAAATAAATAAATAAATAAAATCTTTAAAAAAAAAGAAATCCAAGATCTAAATAAACGGAGAGATGTACTGTATTTGTGGATTGGAAGACTTAACCCAGTAAAGCTGTCAACTCTCAAATTGATAGACAGGTTGAACATAATTCCTACCAAATCTCAGCAAGATCTTTCATATACATGGGCAAGCTCATTCTAAAATTTATATGGAAAGGCAAAGGAACTAGAATAGTTAACAACAATTTTTAAAAAGAATAAAGTGGGAGTATTCACCAGACTTACTATATAGCTATAGCAGTCAAGATTGTGTGGTATTGATGGAGGGATAAACATAGATCAATGGAACAGATCAGAGTACCCAGAAATAAATCCACACATACATGCCCAATTGATTTTTGACTAAGTTGCAAAAGCAATTCAATGAAGAAAAGGTAATCTTTTCAAAAACAGTGCTGGAGCAATTGGACATCCATAGGCAAAAATATGAACCTCAACCTAAACCTCACAGCTTATTAAAAAATTAACTCAAGGGCCCGGCCCAGAAGCGTAGTGGTTAAGTTCACGTGCTCTGCTCCGGCCGCCCAGGGTTCACTATTTCAGATCCCAGGCGCGGACCTACACACCACTCATCAAGCCATGCTGTGGCGGCGTCCCATATACAAAAAAATGGAGGAAGATGGGCACAGATGTTAGCCCAGGGCCAATCTTCCTCAGCAAAAAGAGGAATATTGGCAACAGATGTTAGTTCAGAGCCAATCTTCCTCACCAAATAAAAATATTAACTCAAAATGGATTACAGATTTAAATGTAAAACTTTTCACAGAAGATATAGGCAAAAATCTTCAAGACCTAGGGCTATGTTAAGAGTTCTTAGATATAGCACCAAAAGCACAATCTGTATTTCTTTACATATTGAGAAACTGGACTTCGTTGAAATTAAAAACTTTGTGCTTTGTGAAAGATCCTCTTAAGATGATGAAAAGACAAGCTAAAAACTGGAAAAAATATTTTAAAACCATATATCTCACAAAGGACATGTCACTAGCCATTAAGGAAACACAAATTAAGACACAATAAGGTATCATTACACACCTATTAAAATAGCCAACATAAAAAACAGTGACAACACCAAATGCTGGTGAGGATACGGAGAAACTGGATCTCTCATACTTCGCGGGTTGGAATTTAAAATGTTACTGCCACTTATAAAACAGTGTATCAGCTTCCTAAAAAAACAAACATGGAATCACCACATGACCTAGCAGTTGCACTACTGGACACTTATTCCAGAGAAATGAAAACTTACGTCCACACAAAAACCAGGACACAACTTTTCAGAACAGCTTTTCATGTAACAGCTGGAAACAACCCAGATGTCCTTTAATAGGTGAATGATTAACCTATGGTACATCATAGCATGGAATACTACTCAGCAATACAAAGGACAAACTTTTAATACGTGAAGGAATACTACTCAGCAGTACAAAGGACAAACTTTTGATACGTGAAACAACTTGGATGGATCAAGGGCGTTCTGTTGAGCAAAAAAAAGCAACCTCAAAGGTTACATAATGTATGATCTACTTACATAACAAAATTAGAGAGATGGAGAACAGATCAGTAGATTAGTATTTACTAAGGGTTGGGGACAGGGACTACGAAGGTGTAGCAACTGTAAGTGACAGCACAAGGGAGCTCCTTTGTAATGGAGCAGTTCTGTATCTTGACTGTGGCGGTGGTCACACAAATCTATACATATGATAAAGCTGCACAGAACTAGCACACAAGCACACAAGCACACAAGCACACAAGCACACGAGCGGATATAAAACTGTTGGGATCTGAATAAGATCTGTAGATTGCACTCATGTCAATTCCCTGGCTTCAATACTGTACTATAGTTACATAAGATGTTACTGCTGGGGGAAGCTGGGGTAAGGGCACATGGGACCTCTCTGTACCATTTTTTACAATTTCTTGTGAGGCTATAATTATTTCAAAATAGAAAGCTTTTTTTTAAAGACTACATATTGCATGGAATCAATATATGAAATGTCCAGAAAAGGCAATACAGAGACAGGAAGTAGACCAGCAGTTGCCTGCAACTACGGAGTAGAAGCAGCGATTGGCTGTAAACAGGCAGAAGGAAACTTCTTGGGGTAATGGAAATGTTCTAAAATGGAATTGGGGTGACGGTTCCACAACTTTACTGTGATTTCTACTAAAAATCCATTGAATGGTACATTATAATGGGTGAATTTTATGCTATGTTATACCCTAATAAGGCTGTTTTCTAAAAAGCAATATATTGGGGCCAGCCCAGTGGCGCAAGCTGTTAAGTGTGTGTGCTCCGCTGCAGCATCCCGGGGTTCGCTGGTTCGGATCCCAGGCACGCACCAATGCACCGCTTGTCAAGCCGTGCTGTGGCAGCGTCCCATATAAAGTAGAGGAAGATGGGCAAGGATGTTAGCCCAGGGCCAGTCTTCCTCAGCAAAAAGAAAAAGAGGAGGATTGGCAGATGTTAGCACAGGGCTGATCTTCCTCACAAAAAAAAAAAAAAAGCAATATAAACATTTACTCAGTTAAACCAGAATTATCCAAAGGCCTCCTCAAGCAATCTTACCTGAGATTCCTTTAATGCTTGCTTTCCCCACCAAATTGGGTTGGTATCAACTATGATAACTAGAAGATTCAACTCATCTTCTGAAAATATTAACAAAAAATAAAAAACGTTAGCTTCATGAAAGTGAATTAAAGCTAACATTCCCAATTTGTAAATTAAATCCAAACCAAGCATCACTATACGCCTTTCCGTGTTTATCGTCCTACAACCATGAGATTAACAGAAAGCCAAGTTCTTGTAAAGATGTGAAGCTCTGGGGCCCTTGCCTGCTTTCTGCACCTCTACATCCTTCACACACTAGAAGACGAGCCCCACAAGGGGGAATGTTTGTTTGTTTTGTCCCTGCTTACCTCTGCTCCCAGCACACTGCCTAGCCATAGAGGATGCTCAATAAACACACACTAAACAAACTCAAAGACATATGCATTTTAAATGCCTGGTCAAGGACAGAAGGCAGTGATTAACCAGCAGTGAGAATCACTAGTGGTGGAATTTGGGGCATGCGGGGGTAAAAGGGAAACAGGAATCAGTGTGGCCCCAAGTCCATCAAATCACCCAGCAGCACAGCCAACTGTGGTTCCAATTAGCAACCAGTTTTACAAAGGTGAACACCAAAGAGGGAAAAGCAACTCCTGTGTAAAGGAGAGTTCACTGTGAAAAGGAACTAGGCTGCTCTCCAAAGAGACAGACACAACTAAACAGGCTAACTATACACATTAACTCATTCAACAAACATTTACACTAAGTATCACTGTTAGGTGTTGGGGATACCGGGTCCAAGTCTTCAAAAAGCCTACATTCTTACTGAGGTGACAGACATACGAACCCATAAGCACACGCTGCTACAAAAAACCCAGGATGCTCATTTAACAGCAAAAAGCAATAATGCCTTTCCTGCCCCCATTACTTCCTTCCTGCAGTTCCCTGTCAGGATAATCCCCACCCATCTTTGATTTCTGCTCACATATCCAAATCCTATTTACTCTTGAAGGCTCCAAACCAATGCTACCTCTTTCTTCTCCCAAGTTTTCCAACCAGTCCTGGCTCCCCCATCTCAGGACAGCGGGAACGTCAGCCTCCTCTGTATCAGGCACTGGCATATGTCATCCTATAATCCCATTCCATGCTGACAACAACCCATCGAGGGACATATCATGGCTGTCTTTCATCAATTATAACATGTACTCTCTCCTTTTTTTTTTCACATTTAACAGTTGCTGAAATCAGGATGGCATCTGACAATTAAGAGTGGCAGTATTCTTTTCTCTCTTAGTGTTATATTAAATAAAAGCATATTTCATAATCAATATAGTCTTAGATTACATGAAATACAGTATTCCTATTTTGCGAATCAAAGTAACTTGCTCTAAGTCACATGGTCTGCTAGCAAGTAGCAAAGCCAGTGGCCTGCTTTGAAGACAGATCTGCTTGACTCGAAAGGTTGTGGCTTTTCATTGCCCCACTGGCTGGTTCTGACCACCCACAGCACTGATCCTCTTCTCATGACACTTATACTCACTACCTCATTTTACAGTTAGTTGTGTTTCTGACCTCTTCCCAACCCTGCCCACTAGACTGTGGACTCCTTAAAGAATGAGGATTTTTGCTAATCCTGGGATGAAATAATACATGTAATACAACAAAGTGCCCAGTACAGAAAAGGCACTTAATAACCGGGTCTCCCACAGGCCCTCACTCCCCCGCCCCTAAGCTCTTAAGCCTTTGGCCTCATTCTCCATCAGGCCCCACCCCACAATTCTCAGGGCTATCCACTCCTTGCTACTACCAAGAAGCCTGAGAAAAAGACCAAGTGTTGCCTGTGAGAAGGGGTGTGTATCCAGACACACACAATGACCCTGTGAATTTCCTTCTTTGGGTCTCTACCTCCTCTTCGCAGACAGGGGCCATGCCAGGTCTGCCTCCCTCACAGGGCGTTACGGGGATTAAAACAGATAAAAGGAAGCATGCACAACTGTCACAGCCCCAAAAGGACCTATGTCTATTCTTGCTCCCCAAAGTCCATTTTCCACACAGCAGCCAAAGTGACCTTTTAAAATTGTGAATCAGATAGTAACACTTCCTTGCTTAAAACCCTAAAATCCCTTTGTAATACACTTAAAAATAAAGCTCAAGGGCCCGGCACCGGGGCCTAGTGGTTCAGTTCGCAGGTTCCATTTCAGCCGCCTGGTTTTGTGGGTCTGGATCCCAGGCGCCGACCTACATCACTCGTCAGCCACGCTGTGGTGGCGTCCCACGTATAAAGTAGAGGAAGTTGGCACAGATGTTAGCTCAGGGCTAATCTTCCTCAGAAAAAAAAAAACATTAAAATAAAATAAAGCTCTTTGTCATGGCCCACAAGGGCCGTGCACCTGGCCAGCTCTCCGATCTCATCCCTCTAGCTCACCCTGCTCCTGCCACTCTGGCCTCTTTTTCCTTCCTTTAAGACATCAGCCTCTACAACTGGTAGCATAACGGATGAATTAAAGTCTCTCCACCTTCCTCTACCCCTAGGCTCCCCATTTCTGTCTTCTCAGTGTAATGTCGTGGCTCAACTTGCCACAGGACCTTCGCCTAGTCATTCAAGTCTTAGTTCCAAGACCACGGTCTCCCCTGCACTCGTATCTCAAGTAGCTCTTCCTTGATCGTCCCCTTAAGCACAATCTAATACACTATCCCTTTACTGTCTTCATAGCTCTTGTCACCCTTGGAAATTATTTTTATTTACTTGCCTATTGTCTGTCTCGCGCACTAGACTGTAACCTCCACGAAGGCCCTGTCTGTCACGTTCTCTACTGTATTCTCCAGCGCATAAAATAACGCCTGACACACAGGAGGCGATCCAAAAACATTTAGTGAATGAATGAATGAGTACATTCGCTATTCCTCTAAAGACCAAAGACGTTCCACCCAGCCCAAAATATATACTCCATTTGGCCGGTCATGGCCGGTCCGAGTCCGCGTAGCCCTGGGGTCCGGGTCCCCCCTGGCGCTGCCCTCACCGTCTGAGACCATGGCTGCCCGGGTCCGCCAGCGCAGAGGCAGCAGCAGTCCTGCGCCTCTCCCGGAACCTGTGCACTCCGACTTCCGGCGCCGCCGGGTGACGAGCAGGGGATTTGGCCCAGACCGCGCGCCGTACCCATGGCCCCGCCCCACAAGGCGCCGGAAGTGGGGTTCCGCGCGCTGTCAGTCCCTGTGGCTCGGAGCTCGCGCGGTCGCGGGACTCATCCCGGTGGCGCAGGCGTCTCGGGCCCCTCGGGCTCCGGGGGTCCGGAGGGCACCATGGACGACAGGGGTAAATGGGGATGGGACGGGCCTGCTGGGCCTGGAGCGGAGCCGCGCAGGAGTCCGTCCACCTCGCGTCTCCCCGGCTGGGCTCCGGGAGAGCTCGCTTTCCAAGTTCAGGCTGCTCGGTTGGATGTGCTTTCTCTGGTCACAGCTCAGTCCCTCTCTCTGCTCCTGTATCCAAGGGTTGGGTCCTGTGGGTATCCCCAGACACCCCCTCTGCCCACGCTTTCCAGTGCCCTTCTCCAAAAAGTGAGATTCGGACGAAATGTGCAGGTCTTCACAGCCTTGATTTCCTCATATGTGAAGTATGAGTAAGACTCCCTGCACTAGTGGATCTGGTACTAGAATCAAAAGGAAAGGGCAGATTTGATGTGCTCATCTGGTGGAGTACTACAAACTAATGTATGTAGTACCTTTCGTGTAAAAAAATAAGAAGGGGGTGGACCTCTCCATACTCATACATGTACGTACGTATGTAGGTGAGTAGGCTTGACTTAGCATATCGACTGGAGGGGTGCTGGAGCAATTGGTAAGGTGGTTGACTCTGGGATTCTCTCAGCACTTGGGGTCGAGAATAAGAAGAGAAGGACCTTTCACTATCATTCGGTAAGGCTTAAATTTTATGCCATTGTATGTACACGGATAGCTTTTTCAAAATGAGAGAGAAAGAGAGCTTGCAAATAGTAGCGTCATCTCTATGCCCACCAACATTTGTGATGCCCCTGAAGCCAAACACCCCGAAAAGAAAGTGTTTTTAAAATTAGTTTTCTTCGTAAGGTCAACAGTCATTGACAAGCTCTCTGGCCTTACATCCTGCTACATGAATTTGATGAATCACTTTTTTCTTTCTTCCCAGAATTAATTGAATACTTTAAGTCTCAAATGAAAGAAGATCCTGACATGGCCTCAGCAGTGGCTGCCATCCGGACTTTGCTGGAGTACTTGAAGAGAGATAAAGGTAAAGAGGGTCATCCTCAAACACTCTGGGCGTTAGGAAAGTCTTCTAATAACTGTTAGACGTGTAGAAAGTGAGAGATGTATGTGCGGCTACGTAAGGTAATCTAGCCCCAAGCTCAGCTTCTTCCTGCATTTCAGTCCTCCCTTTAACCTGGAGAGAGCCCTCAAGGTATCATTAAATGAGTCCCCTTTTATAAATGAAATGTATTTCGAATCAAGAGTGACCATTTTATATCCAGTTAACCATGAAGCTTAAATTAAAGCAGTAGTTTAGCTGTACAAGTGTTTATTGAGCTTCTGACTTGTGCCAGATTCTGTGCAGATGCCACAGAGCACGTTCCAGAATAAATTTTGGTATTAATGTCATTCATTGTCATTGCCTACTAATTCAAGCATCCTAAATGTAAGCGTCTGGCTATAGCATCACATCTTGTATAAGCAAAATAAAGCCTTCTTTATTCTGAAGGGCTGGCCTAGAGACATATGTCTCTAGGGCAACCTCCAGTGTCTAACCATTGTCCTTACAGTAACACCCAAACACCTAGGCCTCACCTGCCCCGCCTCACAGACCTCCTGTTACTGCGACTTAATTTCCTTCCATGCTGTCTCTCACTGAACTGTGCTTCAGCGGTGCTGGCCTCTCTTTGTTTCTCACACCAAATTTGTTCCCATCTCAAGGCCTTTGCAGTGGCGTGGTCTGTGCCTAGATCCTTTCCCACTGGATCTCTGTGCAGCTGATCCTTTCTTAGGTTTCGGTTTAAATGGCCCCCACTCCAAGAGGCCATCACTGTTAACTGTCTCAAGTAGCTTCTCCTTTCTCATCGTCCTGCTTTTCTCCATCCTCATTACAATCTGTAATTAACTTGCTTATTTTTTGTGTGCTTGTTTATCTGCCTCTTCCACTAGAAAGGGAGTGGGGAGACAAGGAGGGAGACAAGGGACCCTGTCAGTCCTGTTCACGGATGTATCTCTGGCGTCTAGAACAGTGCCTGGTGTACAGTATACACGCAATAAAGACTGGTTGAATGAATGAATGAACTGCAGACCCATCAAGGGGCGGTGATACTGAAATCTACGTCACATTCCTCATGTGATCATTCCAGGGGAGACACTCCAGGGCCTGAGGGCGAATCTCACCAGGGCCATAAAAACCCTGTGTGGCGTGGACTCCTCCGTGGCCGTGTCCTCAGGCGGGGAGCTCTTCCTGCGCTTCATCAGCCTTACCTCCCTGGAAGACTCGGTGAGCCCCCACCCCCCCTTGGGTTACCTTTTTGCTTCTCTGTTTGGCTACAAATATTCTCAGCTTTACCCGGTCTCAGCTTTACCCGGATCTTCCAGTTCCCTTCATTTTGCTCTTTCCTCCTAGGATTACTCCAAATGTAAAGAAACCATGATTGAGCGGGGAGAGCTTTTTCTCAGGAGAATATCACTGTCGAGAAATAAAATTGCAGATCTGTGCCATACTTTCATTAAAGATGGGGCGGTGAGTAGATATTCATCATGTGTGGTAATTGGGAGCAAGGACTTTGGAGGTAGACTCCTGGGGTAAAATCCTGCTTCTGCCACTTACTTGCTGTGTAACCTTGGACAAGTTACTTAACCTCTCTGTGCTGCAGTTTTCTCATCTATTAAATAAGGGTAGTAATAGTACCTACCTCATAGAGGAGTTGTGAGGATTAATGAGATGGTGTGTGTAAGGGCTGTGCACCATGCCTGCCACATGGTAAGCACTGTATAAATGTAGGTATTATTATAGATGGTTGTCATTTTAAACAGGCAGAAAAAAACACTGGGACAGCATGGATGATTCTTGATTTGATAAGATGGCTTACTAAATAAGTATTATTATTATTGGATATGTATTAATTAATCTGAATTAAATCAACACAGAGCAGCTCTTGTCACTGGGTGATACCGACTGTCTTCCTGGTGACAGTCAGCACTGGTTTGAGATTTTCTTTTTAACTTTTTTTCAAATGCTGTTACCAAGAGGCAAAGCTGCCAGGTGTTTATGAGTAAAGAAAGACAGGACCTGCAAGTTAAGTCATTCTCCCTGCCAAAGGGCAATCAAACTTTGGAGGCTCTCCCAGCAGCCTACCTCCTTTCTGCCATCCTAGCCCCCACCAACTGTAAAATGACTGACTTGCATTTTGACTCTGAAATCTTGTCCTCTGTTTTATTACCTCTTCCCAACCTTTGAAGTATGTTATTAAATAAATGACATACTAGATGTGAGTGGAACTTGTACAAAAGCCAGTTGCAAACAAAGCCATCTTTAGGCAAGTGGAGGCAAAGACCGCCTCTCGCTGAGGCCGTCTCCTTCCGCAGACTCGCCGTGCTGTCGGTGTTCTGTGGGTTTCAGTTGCTCTGGGGTAGTCTAATGTGCAATCCCCACCCACATGAGCGCTGATTTAGACTGAACTTAGAGCAGAGCTGCTCAAATTGGAACATGCAGATGAACCACCTGGGGATCTTATAAAATGCAGATTCTGGGTCAGCAGGTCTGGGGCGGGGCCTGAGAACCTGCATTTCTAACAAGGTCTCAGGTGAGACCCAGGAAGGAGCTCGAGAGCTGTGTCCATCCATCCTGCATTATGTAGTCCTCTGTACTCTATTCCTTATAGGTTACATGTAAATGTCTGCAAATTGTATCTGGCCCATGGGTGGGTTGTTTACCCCAAACAGTATTTATTAATTTTTAAAAAATTAAGTTAGCCAACATTTAAATATTGGATCTTTAGCTCCTCTAGAAAAATCAGATGATCTGGCAACAGTGGACCATGTGGTGACAGCTGGAGCTTAGCCTTTCTACTTTGCTGCTGGCCCCACCCGACCCACTGCATTTACTTATGCTCCCTGCCTGGTGCCTGTAGGCCCAAACCATGTCTTAGAAATAGGAAAGACAACCCAAAGAGCCTAATGGAGGCTTCAGATAAAAAGGCTTTGTGTCTTGTGAGTGACACTGTGTGGGGATTCCGCTTCTGTACCTGCTATGGGAAGGGGAGACTCCATGATATATTCCTCTAGCGGAAACCTTTTTCAACTTGTATATGGGCTTAAAACTCAGTGTACCATCCAGGATCGCTTTCTGATTCTAGTTGATTTGTGAAAATGCATGCAGAAAAGCCTTAGGGTACCAGGAACATGCATTAGAGTGGCCGAGGGTATGGGTGATCGCTGGGAAGCTTGCCCTTTTGACGGAGCTTTCTCGGCCCGCAGAGAATATTAACTCACGCCTACTCCAGAGTGGTCCTGAAAGTCTTGGAAGCAGCTGTGGCGGCCAAGAAGCGTTTCAGTGTGTACATTACTGAGTCACAGCCTGATTTATCGGGGCAAGTATCTTTCCATTTGGTTATGTGCCCAGCAGTCATTTTAGAGAGCAAACTCAGGATTAGAATCATAAGAGGAGCCAGAACATGCCCCCTTATTTGCCAGTCAATCAGCATTGCCTCTGACAGTGCCCACTCCTGCCCTGGAAGAAAAATCACTCTGCATTTGCAGTACGTGGCAGTAGAGGATCTAGAGTTTTTATTTAATAGTTAAATCAGAGGAACAGCGAGAGATTGTGTCAACTGAAAGATTTTTTTTATCAAAGAAAGATTTTTTATCAAAGAAGAGATAATGCACGTCTCTGGCTATACAGAAGATAATAAATTAAAACTTTCTTTTTTTTTCCAAATTTGCATCTCTTACCCATGGTCCCCAAGAGTATAGTTTTCCAGAAAAACATACTTCCTTCTAAAGAACCCAAATTCTTGTTTTCTTAGTCCAGAGTCTTGGGATCTTCCCCTTAATCCATTAATATTAACTGAGTTTCAAGCTAACG